CTAGACAAGCAAGACAATGAATTGGTGAGTAAAATAGTTTATTATTAACTCATTACTCATTTTACACATACATTTTTTTTATTAATCACTCTTCAATTTTTCTTTTCTTTGACAATGATGATATCTCATTTTGTATATCTGGTGATGTGAACAACAGGTGGGATTTCATAATGGACATAATTTGGTCGAGATGACTTCGTAATCCATATACAGATCTTTTACGGCGATTGAATTCTGCATGTATTAGTTCGCCACCCTGCTCAGACAGCAAGCCAAGACCAACCTTCCACTTCCTCATGAATTCAATTGAATGATGTTCCAGCATATGTAGCTTTGGTTGCTTAACATTGGTTGCAACTTTTCGATACTCTCTTGAAAAATCTGTGATTGCCAACTCTGGGTCAAAAAAAAAATGCACATATAATTTGGAAAACACTTTAACAAAAAGCTAGTTATTATTTTTTTTGAATGCAAAATATGAATTTGTTTCTTACCATATTCTCTCAGTTCAGTTGGATTAACAGGTCGTGTGTGGTTTATTAACGTGTGTACCTTAGCAAATGTTTCAAAAACTGGTGTGTGCTTCTTTTTTATTTTTTCTAATGCTGTGTTTAGAATTTTTGCTGAGCTGATCGGGCATTCTTCTAGCTCATTTTTAAGGGCAGAGTTCATACCAGTCATCAATTTGTCAATGATGTTAATCTAAAAAAAAATAAAATAAATAATGAAACAAAAAAAATTTGTTTTCAATTACAAAAATAATGTAGTTATTGATACGGTACAGTACTTACCTTGCAGGCTTTGTGAACATGATTTCCAACGAAGCTTTTCCCATGATATTGTTGTCTTGGTATTTTATTAGCATGCAAAACATCATCCATACTTGTTGCCAAGGGGCCACTTGCGAATTTCAGCTCTTGATCTATATGATTTTCCTAGATTTGTTAAAAAAGGGGATGAAAAAAATACTAAAAGTTTACAAACAATATAATAGAGGGATGCCATTATTGTCATTATTATTATTATTATTGTTATTATTATTAATATTAAATAATAAGAAAACAATTTCTTGTTACTATTATACTGTATGTTATTATGTTAATAATATAATTTAGCTTACCAAGTCTTTCACCTTCTGTTCTTTTACAGCAATTTCGTAGCAGATGTCTGCCACCTTGTTGGACATTACATAACTATTAGCAAGGATTGATAACGGGAGTTCATCCCGCATCTGCTCAATAGCGTCATTCAAGGATCTGATTTCAGTAATACTGTTGTTTCTCATTGTGGCGGCCTCTGAAATGGCTGTTTCGAAGTCTGTCAATTCATGATCACCTGAAAAAGAATACAAATCTATCTAAGTACAGTATTTTGGAATGCATACTATTCTTGTCTCTTATACACATCTAGATGTGTATAAGAGACAGAAATTGTGATGTTTTTAAATAAAAAAATTATTTTCATTTTTCAAATTGTGCCTGAATACTGAGTCAACGCTAGACAAGCAAGACAATGAATTAGTGAGTAAAATAGTTTATTATTAACTCATTACTCATTTTACACATACATTTTTTTCCGCGGTAGATTCTAAGGCGCAGCAGATGGAGAAAGTTTCCTTGTTTCCCGAGGTGCAGATACCGAAAGTCAGGGGAATGATAATCCAGAGATGTACGACGACGCGGTCGACCTTCTCGGTGTCTTGGACGAAAAACGGCAAGGACGTGGGCGACGACAGGAGTCATCGTCAAGTATGCAATGGCGGTCACGAACACATACTGATCATCGTCAACGTCAAGTTGCGGGATGGAGGATTGTACGGTTGCTCGTACGGGCAGATCACTGCGAATGCTTGGGTGGAAATTGCGAAAGCCGACGCACCTCCCCTTCTCGTCGAATATCACGCGAACGTGTGTAAGGACAGTGTGTTCAGCATACCCGACCCCGCCGTCCAGGTGAAAAGAAACGGCTCTCTCGCCTGCTACTACTTCGACAGACACATGTTACGAGGGAGGGCTAACCTTTCTGTCAGGAGGAGCGACCGAAAATTGCTATGACTTACCTTCTCCGAAAAACTCGGATCTTCCGAGGAGCCATCCGTGCAACGCGTTGAAAACCGAACTAGACGTCGTGATCGAGAAAAACTTACTGCACGTGGGAGACACGGCAACGTTAAACTTTTACTGATATAAATTCAGGAATCGGAGATTCAACGTCCGCGCGGAGGGCGTCTTGTCGAGCCACGATCACGAGGAGCACAGAGAAGACAGCATTCTCGTGCCAGAGGGTTCGGTGTCGACTACGATTTGCGCTCGCGGGAGGATGACGGTCGTCGAAATCGACACGGAATTCTTGAGGCAAGACCGACACCACATAATTAGGCTGACGGTCGATTTTTTTGCTTTCAACTATACGAAAAGAGGGGAGGTCTTCGTAACCAGCCAATCAACGGGAGATCAGGAAGACGACACTAGCCCCGGGTTTAAGGCGAGAAACCTATGCGAATTCAGAAGGAAAGGTGCAGGAAAATTTTTAGGTGACGGTCGGACTATAAACTATCCGTATCCGCCCTTCGTCGTGCATGCCGCCGCGAAAAACCTAAGCCTTATTACTTTACAAGAGCGGTGGAACAACCCCAAGTCGGAAGTGAACGTGGTTTACCTCTTTGGAGTCTCCAGTTCGGCGAAGGTACGATGGAAATTGGATGGCGTGGAACTAGAAAGCTTACCGCAACGCCGAAAAAAATTGGGAAGTCTGATGATCCTCACCTGTCACGACCACAGGGTCGTCGGAATCCTGGAGCTTCCGACTATCGTCGAAAAAGCGATAGTTTTCGCGACGATACAAGAAGGAAACGAGAACTTCGTTGTCGGCCGGACGGTTCGGGTGTACAGGAACGGCGACGAGCCGATCATGAAACCCTAGACGTTCGGATGCGACGAAATGCCGATCGAATATCTCGGCGTTCCTCTTCAATACCGGGAGCCATCCCGCCATTATCTACCAGATGAACTTATGCGAGAATAGAATGTATATTTTGTGTGTGTGTGTGTTCGTGTAGTAAATAAAGAGACTATCGAAAACAAAATAATTCTTTGTAATC